AAGCCCCAGAGGTTAATGTTTGTTAATGTTAAAAGTATAATTGGCAGCCTTGTGTTAATTTGTTCTGTGACTGACCACCACAGTAATCAATTTACAAGAATAATACTTATCGTTGAACAACACGGGTTTTATTCTGTCATCTGTCCGGTCCAGTATTACTATCCAGAAGGATTCTAACACTTTGAAAGAAACTAAACCAACATTGGTGGCTTAACTATTAAGTTAAAGGCTGTTCATTTCATGGTCGCTATGGCGGTCGAAGAAGAGTTAACAATTCAGATCAAAGACCTTTCAGCTTTCAATATTATAAACCTGCAGACAAAATTGTGACATCTATTTTTAGGGATACCTACCTATTATTGTGCATCTGGTCTGTGGTCATTAAACAGTTAACATGATTGAGAACATGACATGCATTTCTGATCAAAAATTGTGCAACAGCAGCTTGTGATTTTCCACCCACTAAAATTAGCACTCAAGAGTGCAGAAACTCCTGATGGCTATGATTTATTTGTGTCGCAACATTAGATGAAACACTTGCTGGAAATGGGCAGATCAATCCCAGTATTAGAGTTTTGTGACCTTGAAAGTGCGAGGCATTTAACTGCAGCTGTGCTTTCTATCACTGAATTATACAATTTTTTTGAAGGTGATGTTTTGTGACTGTTTCATTTACAGTTACAATTCAGCAACACAAGCTAGAACTGCATTTAAAAACATTTCTCACTTTAAAGTCACAGACTCAACAACAGACAGAATGGCACTGCATCTACTAATTTATCTTCCTTCAGTGTTTTAAATAAAAAATTAAGATGATTAAAAGTAATGAATGAAATATCATGCAACATGGGATCAAAAAGATGACTTTGGGATTAAGAGCCCCATTAGCTGCCAAATAAGTTAACTGGCCTGTGCAGCAACAAAGTCTTTCCAACACAGCACTAAACAGTGCTTCCCAAACTTATCCCACTGTGACTTCATTCTGCAACTTGAAAATTGTCATGACCTCTCAGTGGGAGGGGTGTGGTACTATGGGAGGTAAAACGACCTGTGAAAGCTGGTGGCAAGGGGTGTAGTATGAACTTTTTGAGTAGAAACACACCTGTTTTTGCTCAATGGTGAGCATTACTGCCTTGGAACTTGCAACCTCAGAGTTTCATCACGTGCTCCCACTTTGGGACACACTAGTGCCATATGCCCTTATTAATGTAGCCTTGGATTCTGTATACCTTACTAACCACTGCCACAGTCAATACTTAGGCATATAAAAACCCAGGTCCTTCAGCTCCTGCACCATTTTAAAAAAACGTACACTTATATTGTTCCTGCTTTTTCTACCTACTGAAATGTAACACTTCCCATTTCTCCATGCTGAACTTCATCTGTCACTTGTCTACCCATTCCACCAACTTATCTATGTCCTTTTGAAATCCTGTACAATCCACCTCATAGATCACAACACTTCCAAATTTAATGCCATCCACAAATTTTGAAATGGTACTTCATACACTAAGGTCTAGGTCTTTAATACATATCAGGAACAGTAAGGGTCCCAATGCGGACTCCTGGAAAATCATCTTCCGATCTGGAAACCAGCCATTGACTGATACTCTCTGATTTTTGTCATTAAGCCAGTTTCATATCCATGTTCAACACGTATCCATGTTGCTAGTCTTCTTTTTAGTTAATGAACCTGAACTTTACTCACAAGTCTGTTGTGTGTCTTTATATCGATTGTCTTCCGGAAATCCATGAATACCATATCAACACCATTTTCCTCAGCAACTCTATGATACCTCTTTGAAAAATTCCAGCAAGTTAGTTAAACATAATTTTCCCATAACAAGTCCATGCTGGCTTTGCTTAATTAACCCACTTTTGTCCATATGACTATAGTTTTTAATCTCAAATTGTTTCAAACAGTGTCCCCAACACTGAAGTTAAACTGACAGACTTGGGTTTATATTTTGTGTGAACAAGGGCATAACATTCGTAATTCACCATTCCTCTGGTTCTACCTTGAGACTAAGGAACACTCGAAAACAATTTCCATTCATCCTTCAATCAGTGTCCTTGGACGCATTTCATCATGTCCTTGTGCTTCATCAACTCTAGGTAAAAGCAACTTAGCTGATATCCCCTCATCTATTCTAAATTGTTTTAGTGCATTAATTATCTCCTCTTTCACAGTGGCCTCTGCTGCATCTATTGTAAGGAAGAAGACTTTAAGTATTCATTTAATGTCTCAGCTATGTTCCTGTCTCCATGCGTAAATCCCCTTTTTGATCCCTGATCTTTCTTTCAACCCTGTTTTGCTATTTACTTTGAGTTCCCTTTTACATTTGTTGCCATGCTTTTTTGCAGATTCAGACTGCAGGTCATGGGACTGACAGCGACCTCTGAATAGAGGTGGATGCGGCACAGACCCGACAGATAGATTCCCATTTCCATGGCCTCAAGATGGTAACCCTCCCAAAACAGAGACTCTTTTGCAGCCTACTTCTGCCTCCTTCCCAAAAATCCACAAACATGACTGCCCTGGCACAGTCATCATTTCAGCCTGTTCCTACTCCAGTGAAAGTATTTCTTCTTATCTTGACTCTATTCTTTTCTCCCCATGTCCAATCTCTTCCCACTTACATTGACATTGGTTTCATAATTTCCAAGTTTCTGGCCATAGCGGTCTCCTCTTCATCATGGATGTGCAATTCCTTTACACATCCATCCCCCATCAGAATGGTCCGAAGGCTCTTCACTTATTCCTTGAAAAGAGACCAGTGTTCATCACTACCCTCCTTCAGCTGGCTTAGCTTGTTCTCATTTTGAGCAACTCATCCTTTAACTCATCTCATTTTCTCCAAGTCAAAAGGTGTGGCCATGGGTACCCGCAAGCATCCCAGCTATGCCTCTCTCTCTTTGTGGGGTATGTGGAACATTCCTTGTTCCAGTCCTAATCTAGCCCCCACCCACAACTCTTTCACTGATACATCGATGATATAGAGCCATACAGCACAGAAACAGACTCTTCGGTCCAACTTGTCCATGCCAACCAAATTTCCCAAACTAAACTAATCCCATTTGCCTGCATTTTTCCTTCTAAATCTTTCCTATTCGTGTATCTGTCCAAATATCTTTTAGATGTAGTAACTGTACCTGCATCTACCACTTCCTCTGGCAGTTCATTCCACATATGAATCACCTTCTGTGTGGAAAAAGTTGCCCCTCAGGTTCTTTTTAAAATCTTTCTTCTCTCACCATAAAATAATGCCCTGTAGTTTTGAACCCCCAATACTAGGGAAAAGGCCACTGCTTTTCACCTAATCTCTGCCCATATCTTTGGTGATGTTTCCTGCTCTCATCCAGAATTAGAAAAATTAATCAGTTTTGCTTCCAATTTCTATCTCACTTTAACTTGGTGCATCTCTTCTCTTCACTGACTTTATTGTTTTTATTTCTGAGGATAGGCTGTCCACCGAAATCCATTACAAGCCCTTGGACTCCAACAATTACCTCAATGACACCTCCTCACATCCTGCTTCCTGGAAAGATTCAAATCCATTCTTCTGGCTTCTCCATCTCCAACTGCTCTGATGATCCCACAATCCAGCAGGCTGCTTCCACCTTTTTTTCCCCCCCTCAAAAAAAAAAGGATCACCCCTACCTTGGGTTGACAGGGCCTTAAGGTACATACGACCCATCTCCATACTTCTGCCCTTACCCCTTCCGCACTTTACCAGAACAATTTTATGGTCCCACTTGTCCTTACTTTCTATCCCAGTAGTCTCTGCATTCAAAGGATCATCCTCTACCACTTCCAGCAGGATGCCAGCACCAAACACATCTTCCCCTCCCCTGCACAGTCAGCATCCCACAGGCACCATTCCCTCTGTGACACCCTGGTCTACTCCTCCAACATACTTAACACTTTCCCTTGCAATCACAGAAGGTGTAACACTTGCCCATTCACCTCCTCTCTTCTCACTCTCCAGGGCCCCAAACACACCTTCCAGGTGAAGCAGCATTCCACTTGTACGTAATAAAATGCGAAAGAACTGCAGATGCTGTAAATCAGGAACAAAAACAGAATCACTGGAAAAGCTCAGCAGGTCTGGCAGCATCTGTGGAGAGAGAAAAATTGAAGTCAACATTTTGGGCTGAGTGACCCCTCAGACCTCATCTACTGTATCCACTGTTCCAGATGTGGCCTCCTCTACATCGGAGAAACCAAGCGGAGGCTTGGGGACTGCTTTGCGGAACACCTACGCTTGGTTCACAACAAACAACTGCACCTCCCATTTGCGAGCCATTTCAACTCCCCCTCCCACTCCTTAGACGACATGTCCATCCTGGGCCTCCTGCAGTGCCACAACGATGCCACCCGAAGGGTGCAGGAACAGCACCTGATATTTCGCTTGGAAACCCTGCAGCCCAATGGTATCAATGTGGATTTCACAAGCTTCAAAATCTCCCCTCCTCCAAACGCATCCCACAACCGGCCCATCTTGTCCCAGCCTCCCTAACCTGTCCTTCCTCCCACCTATTCCCTCCTCCCACCTCAAGCTCCACCCCCTTCTCCTACCTACTAGCCTCATCCCGCCCCCTTGACCTGTCCCCTCCCTAACTCCCCGCCTCTCTGACCTGTCTGTCTCCTCTCCACCGATCTTCTCCCTTATCCATCTTCTATCCGCCTCCCACTCTCTCCCTATTTATTTCAGAATCCCCTTCCCCTCCCCCATTTCTGAAGAAGGGTCTAGACCCGAAACGTCAGCTTTCCGGCTCCTCTGATGCTGCTTGGCCTGCTGTGTTCATCCAGCTCTACACCTTGTTATCTCAGATTCTCCAGCATCTGCAGTTCCTACTATCTCCGAAATTACCTTGTTGGCGGGTGTTAGCTGCTGCGCAGGCGCGGACCGTGACAGCACGGTCCTCGTGCTCACACGCCCATGAACCCTAAAGCGAGCTGTTTGCGCATGCGGGTTCCTTCCTGCTGTTTTGTAACAGTCTGACTTGTATCTGCAGCAACAGTTTTATATTAATGAATATTAGTTTCACTGAGTAATTCAGCCAGGATGACAACCACACGGGTTTTACTTACGTTATTGCTCAGTATTGAAGGTTTCACCTTTCCCGATCTTAGCTCAATTTATCGCCAGGATTGGCCCCAAGGCGATATTGAGCAGAAAGTCCGGAGTCTGCAGGAGATGGTAAACTCCTGGAAGCTAGGAAGATGCTTGATCTTCCCTGCTCTCTCCGTGTATAGGGAATGCCGTGCGCGCCCCATCCGCCTCGATTTCAATCAGAATGCAGATTTATGCCGTGTCCCCAAACGCTGCAGAATGCAGCACTATCCACTGAGCTTTCCGTAAACAGGTCGTTGGCTGTATTACTTTCAATGGGAATGCTGGTCACTCGTTAACTATACGTACTGCAGTGTCCCAGGATGCAAGGAGATGTTTTGCTCTGCAGATTTTTTTTCTCTCTCTGCGGAGTGAGCGGAAAGCTGAGAGCGGGCCAAACGATTTGAGCTATGCAGCAGCGGCACGGAAAGTGATCTTTCTAAATTAAGTGCCAGGGCCTGGTTGTAACCAGTAGGGCGGGCAGACTATAAATTCACAACGCTGACGAACAGCAGGCTTTTGCTGGATAGGAGTTGACTCCGGACGGCAGCATCGCTCAACATGCCTCGGATAGACGCCGATCTCAAACTCGACTTCAAGGATGTTCTGGTGCGACCGAAAAGGAGCAGCTTGAAGAGCAGATCCGAGGTGAGAGAGAGAACTTCCGCACCCAAGGGAATTATTTTCAAGTATTATCAGAAAATAAGTCAGCCACTTCGACTATTTTTAACTTGCCTCTGAATCTAATTTGGAGCAATCCAAAACTTCTATTAAATCTTTTGAAATGTCACTGTAAAAAGTTAACGCTACAAGTTTTGCATTGAGCGTTTAGCTTGGGATTGAGTCTAGACGACTAACAGAAGGTCAAGTGAAGAACTGCAACAAAATAACGCTTCACATTACCACTCGAAACCAAATACCAGGCACAGAAACAGTTTACTGCTATTTGTTGCGAGCCCAATACTTGGTTTACAAATGCTTTATCCAAAGATGACCCAAACCCATAATCCAATGTGGAGTGCAGTCCGCAGTGACTATTGACATTGCTGCATTCACTCCTGCGTCTCAAAAAGAAATTGTTCTCATGGGAACATGCAGAGGAAATCCCAGCGCTGAGAGCAAAATACAATACTTTTCCTCTCTCCTGGAATCCAACAATATTCACACAGCGTCCTTCCGTACTTGTTACGATAACAGGATCGCAAGAAACATTCACCGGAGTAAAAATGATAAAATATTTCATAGACTTTCATTGGAAGAAGAGACATACGACAGGGTGTGTGGGAATGCTCTTCCATACAATCCCCTGCTTTAAAAGGAGCAAAATTTCGGATGTATGAAAACACAGCAGCGGTTATGTGATTGGACCAAGAATTAAAGCCAAAGCTGGCCGTATAACTCGCTACTCAAACGGCTCCAAAGCCACTAAAATAACTATTTCTATAACATATCCTCTAATTGGTCGTAAAATAGTTCTGTAGACCTATTGTAGAATTGGATATGCAAAAAATTATAGGATCAGATATGTGATAAATTGGAGTCATCATCTTGCCAGTGGGACTTGAACTCAGATCCCCTGGCCCACAGATAGGGACACTGCTGCTGTGCCACAAGAGCCCCCTCCAACTGATCATGTTTAATTGTTTATATACCCAGTTCTGTGATGGGCCCTGTATCTCGTTGGGGCAGATGATTGAGTTGTTTATGACTCTAATGTAAGGGGCAATAAAACTGTATTACAAAAATCAACGGCACTAAGTATCACAGATTTCCCAAGACCATTTAGTTTCTAGTCTAGTGCCCTGAAAGGAAGTCTGCAATGTTGTGAAATTGGTAAGTATGGTGAAATGTCACTTTAAGAGTATGATCACGTGACACGATCATTACGCCTGCCCTTTTGGTGGGAAACCGCTTAGTCTGACCTTGCTGCTTGCCGAGTGAGCACCACCTCAATAAATTTCTTAGAGCGTCTCCTCTCCACCTATCTGCTCCTTTATCCACCTTCCATCCGCCTCCCCCTCTCTCTATTTAATTCAGAATCCCTTTCCCCTCCCCCATTTCCGAAGAAGGGTCCAGACCCGAAATGTCAGCTTTCCTGCTCCTCTGATGCTGCTTGGCCTGCTGTGTTCATCCAGCTCTACACCTTGTTATCTTAAGAGTCACAGAGCTGTACAGCATGCAACCAAACCATTCAGTCTAACTCATCCATGCTGACCAGATATCCTAAATTTATCGTTCCATTTGCCAGCATTTGGCCCATATCCCTCTAAACCCTTCCTATCTGTATACCCATCCTATTAAACAGATACCTGTTAAATGTTGTAATTGTACCAGCATTCACCACTTCCTGTGGCAGGAAAAAGTTGTCCCTTAGGTCCCTTTTAAATCTTTCCTCTCTCACCTTAAATCTATGCCCTTTAGTTTAGGATTCACCCACCCCGTGGAAAAGATCGTGTATATTTACCCTATCCATGCCCCTCATGATTTTATGAACCTGTATAGGGTCACCGCTCAGCCTTCGATGCTCCAGGGAAAATAGCCCCAGCCTGTTCAGCCTCTCCCTGTCATTCAAACACTCCCGTCCTAGCAACATCCTTGTAAACCTTTTCTGAACCCTTTCTAGTTTCACAACATCCATCCTGTAGCAGGGAGACCAGAATTGCATGCAGTATTCCAAAAGTGGCCTAACTAGTGGGCTGTACAGCTGCAACGTGACCTCCCAACTCCTATACTCACTGCACTGACTACTAGAGGCAAGCATGCCAAATGCATTCTTCACTATCCTGTCTACCTGCGACTTCACTTTCAAGGAGCTATGAACCTGCACTCCAAGGTCTGTGTTCAGCAACACTCCCCAGGACCTTACCGTTAAATGTATAAGTCCTGCTCTGATTTTTCTTTCCAAAATGCAGCACATCACATTTATCTAAATTAAACTCCATCTGCCATTCCTTGGCCCATTGTACCATCTGATCAAGATCCCTTTGTACCCTGAAGTAACGTTCCTCACTGTCTACTACACTTCCAATTTTGGTGTAATCTGCAAACTTACTAACCATACTTCCTATGTTCACATCCAAATCACTTCTATAAATGATGAAAACCAGTGGACCCAGCATACCTTGTGGCACACTGCAAGTCACAGGCCTCCAGTCTGAAAAGCAATCCTCCACCACCACACTCTGTCTTCTACATTCGAGCCATTCTGTATTCAAATGGCTAGTTCTCCTTGTATTCCATGTGATCTAACCTTGCTAACTAGTCTACCATGAGGAACCTTGTGAAACGCCTTACCAAAGTCCAGAGAGATCATGTCCACTGCTCTGCCCTCATCAATTCTCTTCGTTAATTCCTCAAAAAAACTCAATCAAGTTGCTCTTGTTAAATACTTTGGTCTCCTGGTTCTTCTTGAAATGTAACAGAAGAAAACTGCTTCAAGATCCACTGGGTGAATCCACTGTTTCAGTGAGCACAGTAAACAGTCATAACCCCCACTTGTAGATCTCAGAGACACTTCAATAAATAGAAGAAAATAAATCAAAAGACACTATTGCTGCACTGAAACAGTACAGTTTGAGAAAAATCAGGAGTCTCTGCTCCAGGGCTACTGCAACCAGGTAATCCCTGGCTCTGCTGTCGCTGTGGCCAGGAGTCACCGCTTTAAGGCATACCACACTGCCGCCCCCTCGCCAACACCTGGAGTCCCCGTTCCAGGCTGACCACGACAAAGAGTCCCTGGCTCCACTGTCAGGCCAGGTCTCTGTCCCACAACAGTCCCGCTCTAGCTGCCCTCCTTTGTGATATCACCTTCTCTGCCACCCTCGACGGGAAGATGAAGGAGGAAAAGAAGACAAAAAAAGGGTAAGGAAAGAAGCGGCCAGTCTAGAGCGGACTGGCCCAGGAGCCTAAATGCTGCCTACCTTGCCGGCACCACCATCAACACCATCCAAGTCAAAGCAGTTCACTAATGAGTGCTTTATTCACCACCTTAAACATTCACTCCCTCCAGCACCAATACAGAGTGACAGCAGTGTGTACCGTATACAAGCATTGCAGCAACTTTCCAAGGCTCTTTTGACAGCACCTTTCAAACCAACGATCTTTACCATTTAGAATAAAAGGGCAGCAGATGCTACCACTACCATCTGTGAGTAACCCTCCAAGCCACACATCATCCTGACTTGATAGCATTCACTGTCTCGTCAGCATGTTTGGGTTAAAATACTGGAAATCCTTTCCTCATAGCGCTGTAGATTTACAAAAACCAAATGTGATAAAGGTGGTTCACACTACCTCTTCAAGGCTAGTTGTGAAGAGGCAACAAACATAGGCCCAGTCAGCAACAATCACATACTATGAAAGAATAAATATATGTAATGTCTTCAATGGACTTAAGCCAAAAATTCGAAGGGTGGAGTAAAATTTTAACACAGCTGTTAATTTCCTTTGGACTGATCTTTATCCAGTATTGTTGTTTTACTGGAAAAGTGGCAGAAACACTGTTTGTGTTGGTATATGGGATTTTTGTCCCACTTTGGACTTATTACAGTGAGGGAGCAGGATGAGCTCCTGGAAAATTCTGGGCCCCGCAGATGTCGACAATTGAAGAACTTTCAATCTGATGCATCACAAGGAAAGTAATGTGCCTTCTGTTGTACAGACAAAAGGAAACTACTTTCAGTATCACTTTTAAAATTGATCATCTGAGCTTTCCATTCAATACATTTTGTCAAATCAGGTAAAATTACCCAAAGGATCATCGTAGATCCAAAACACTAATATCACCAATACTTGGCTAACTTACCTACTCCAAATGAGGTCTGAAAAATATTTAAAAGGCTGCAGTGCCAAAAAGTGATGTGTCAGAAGTGCGGCATGATTTAAGTTTTGTTAGAACAATTTTGATGCTGACAGGTCTATTTGACTGTCAACTTCAGGTGTGCATGGTCCATAAAAACAAAACAAAACATTGTATTTCTGTAGTGCCTTTCACAACTTTGGGCGATTCAAAACCACTTCACAATCAGTGACATACTCTTGAACCAAACTGTTTTAATTTAGGAACCATGATAGGCAATTTGTGCACCAAGGTCCCACATGCAGCTGTGAAAGACCAGATAATTGGTTTCATTGATTTGATTGAAGAATAAATATTGGCCAAGACATTAGGGGGAAGTCCCCTGTGCTTTTTTGAACAGTGTTGTAGGTTTTCACTTTTGAGATGGAAGATGAGGCATCATCCTAAAGACAGCAAAAATGAAATACTGTTGTTTCCTGTTTTGATTCGAACTTGTACACTGTGAACAATGACAGCATTTTAGATCTTGTTTATTTTATGTCAAATAATGCTTTGTTCTGTTTGGAAATACTCTCTTCACATAACAATGTAGCTAAAATGTTATACATTTCTGCTTAGTGACATCCCTTCCCAAATGCTTTTCTTCATGACAACAATTCCTTCAACATTAAAATAAAACAAAACAATCCTCACCTTGAAAGAGGAAAATAACTTTACTTCCAAATAAATAAGACCATTACTGTTGCTTCAGTATAAGTCCCCTGCAGTGCAGGGTGTTACCTTTTATCAATGGCAAACCAGAGCATGGGTGGGACAACGAAGGGGAAGGTAGGGCAGGAGATGAAGTTAT